GATAGTGGATTAAGACAATGGAGTGGTGAGTAATTGAGAACTTGAGTGATTTTTTTTTTTTTTTTTATACCAACCCTGACATCCTGTATCTGGCTGCCGTCCATCAGCTGATGTTCCAGTACCTTAAGACTCTCTGCAGCCAACATCACCACACGCTGCAGCATCTGAACGCACACAACCAAAATATAACATCTGATGGTTAAACAGGTTCGCTTCGGACATGCTGAAGCACCTCAGCAGAAAATATCCTGATATGTCATATCATTTATATACCACTGCTCTGGTTGTAGTGCTGGAATATAACCAATTTCCAAGAAACAAGGCAACAACTACACACACCGAAAGGGAATCACAACATCAATAACATTATACTGCAATTCTTGGAAGAGTATTACAAGGAGCCGCCTACTATAATTGTTTTAACTGACATGACTTGATTAGGTAACTCAACATACTGGCTTATACACTTATTTGGGATCTCCTCCTCCCTATGACATTCAACAACAACTATAATACATGATATCTACATATGGGTGAGGAAACTTGTTTCCTTGTCCCATAAATGTACTATATTAAATTCCAACATATTATGATCCCATTTGTACTATTATATGCTAATTATAAGTCTTTTGGCCTCTTAGGCATTTGTTAAATGTTAAAAGTGACTTTCCTCTTACTAAAATTCTTCTGAAACCCATTTATTTCAGTTATTTGACCTGATGGTGGATACTCCAGATTATAACACATGTTCATTCATCAAAGAAATGTACAATTGAGTTCAAACCAACTTAAAATCTCTTTCAGGGTTCAGTTATAAATCATGTTATGTGCAAAGATAATTATTATTGTGATTAACATTTCTACGGTCATGGCTGTGTAGGAATTTTCTGCATCTTGAGTATTCAGAGAAACTCAAAAGTTCATTCGGTTAAGTGAATAATTCTATCACAATCTGCTCCCTAGTGGTCATTCAGAGGCACTGAGACAACCACACATGCACTGAACCAGGATAATTAACTAACTAACTCAGCTATTTGTTTTAAAACACATTTTCATGTGTTCTGGAAGTCTGCAGAAGGGCATGTGAATTCAACAAGAAACTGATATATACAACCCGAGCAACCAAATAACCAGGTAAAATGGAAATCAGTCTAAACACGGTGAATTAACCCTGCAATGACGTCTCTGTTAGGACGTCACAGAAAACAAAGTTCCTGCTCTCCGCCACCGTTATAAAGCAGGATGCTGGGAGAGGCTCAGTGTTAATGTTGGACTTGTAAGAGTGAAGTGGGCAAACACAGGAAGCTTATCTGGGTCAGCTACGCACCATGGGAAGCTGCTGTGTGTACCTTTTCTGTACGCTACTGTGTGCCACTGGACTCTTTTACAGCTACGGTCACATCCAAACAGAGGAGTATAATACCAAACATTTACCTTATTTCACTACGACAGAGGACAGCAATGAAAAGCAACTGGTGAGCTACAGCTGATGGTCTCCCAAAAACATTAGTAGTGCTTTTAGGACGTTTTGTAGGTTGTGGATATAATGTAAACATTCTTGTCAGATATTCTCTCTAAATTCTTTAGACTATTGTTTATTATTTAATATTCTGATGGTATTTTAATGTTTATAAAGTGTTATGTGACGATTTGCATTTGCAGATCAATGATTTACATCAAGTTTTGGAGAGACTTCAGAACAATCAGTTTCCAGTTCTAAGAAAAAAGCATGGCTATGTGCCAGTGGTATGTAACGCAATAACTCATCTTGGAATTATGTCAATTTCTAAAATCACTCCAGACCAATATATTCATTATCTTTGCAGAGACATTTACTGTCCATAAGTCTTACTTTAATTTTGGTTAGTTTGATTATTATGGTTTCATATTTTTTCAGTGTGATCCAGGAGACGTGTGTGCTCTCAGGAAAGGATCCAGGATCGGGAAACTATGCGACTGCTCTCCGCCGAGAACATGCAACTCTTTTCTGCACCGCTGTTTGTGATACTCTCCGTCTGTTACAAATCTAACAGAAACCACAGTAAAAATCACTGTGATCTATGTGATGGTATAGTTCTCAAGTATTCAATTTTGTCTTTTTTTCTGATCACTGACCAAATGTAAGATTTTATTTTTGAATCCATTATTGAATGCTATTAAATGTGTTGTCGTGTAAGTTGCATACTTTGTGTGTTCCACTGACCTGTACACTCGGTGCTCTTTTGGTCCACATAGATAGTGTTTTGTCTTTAGGCGTAGCTATAAACATGACAGGCAGAGACTCCCTGGAGGCCATGAAGTCATTCTTGATCTCTGTGTAGTCGGCAGCTACACGTGACAGACAGAGAGAGAGAGAGTTGAACAACAATTAAACTTGGCGTTGAAACAGCGATGCATGTGAGCAGGATGTTAAAGTGTGTCGGGGGTATATATAGAAAGAGGTCAGAGGGGATTTGTTTGTGTAACATAGAAGGAAAAAGGGGTGTGAGTGAGTGAGTGAGTGAGAGAGAGAGAGAGAGAGAGAGAGCTTGCCTGTGAGCTGGTTGTTAAGGTTGACTACCAGCGGGTTATTCCTCCAGTCAAAGGAGGAAAGCAGATGAAGGAAACGAAGGAAGCCGACCTGGGGAGAACTGAGGAAGACGAGAAATTCACTCACATGACCTACTGAACGAACAAAGGGAAGTGAAAAGTACACATCCACAAATGAGGCTGAGGAGGTGGACAGATTTTACAGAGATTAAAAAAGGCAGTAGTTACCCGGGAGGAGTAAAGGGTGCGGGCTGCAGGAAAAGCGACGCCACCAAAAGGTCTGCCGTGTCCTCTGTGATGTCGTCACTGAAGAGCTGAGCCCCCAGCCAGCGTTTGGCCAGGCGACACACTGCCCCAAAACATGGGTGCTGCTGCTGGAGCCTGCCAACAACAAGTTGGGTAACGTATAAGTTGGAGCAAAAAAGTAAGGAATTGGTGAATGAAGGACAAGCAAAATAATGACAAAACAAGAAAGAGACAAAAAGAAGGGGACACAAAGGAAGAAAAAAAATGACAAAAGTTGAAGAAAGGGAAGGCATATAACCAAAACTAACTGTTAATGTGTATGACAGCAATGTGTAGGGTTGGAAAAGACTGAGGGAACTAATAGGAACCCTACAACCCTGATTTCTCACACAACACACACATACTACTTTGTGTTACTGTTTTAATTTTACCCATGCAGTGTGCTGGTAAGTAGAGGCTTGTGAATGGTTTCCATCTCTAGAGCCTGAGCCTCCTCGTTGTCCCTTACAACCAGCAGCCCCTCGGCATTCACGCTCTCCCTCAGCACCTGTGGCTCGCGATGGTATGCCACCTGGATGCGGAACACCAAGCCATCCTGGATACATAAACAGAGGGAAAGATGACAGCATAAATAAAAGACTGAACAGTCATTAAAAAAAAATAGCCTGGCCTGTATGAGACATGTGCACCAACTCAAAAATATACCTTCCAGACATCCAGGTGTGTGGGGCAGGACCTGCACGTATAATTATGGTGTTTCTTGAGTAACTCTCCCAGACGGATGTTGAAGGCAGCCCGGATATGGCGGATGGCGAGGCGGTCGTGAGGCCACTTTCCACTCCCCTCCATGTGACAGATCACTGCAAGAACATGGTTAACAATACACTGGTGAATGAGTTTCTTTAGTTAAACGTCTGTGGTGAAGTGGCAGTGAACAAATGTGTAGCCGCTCAAGAAAAAGATAACTCAGATGCAGTTACGTTTCAGTGATAAAGTTTTTTCTACGGTAGTCTAGATGTAGTTTTCAGCAGATTTAACAAGTGTTAACTAACCTGTGATAGGTGTGATATAAGCAGGGCAAGGTTTGTTTTCCTTTGGCACCAATGATCTGGAAGTCTTTTCTCTGTCAAAGAAGGAATAGTCCAGCTTCAGTGGCACAGGGGGAAAGACCTGCAAGAAACCACAATTTAAAATCAACAATAACCACAGCTATAAATAACTTATAAAAGCTCATTAAACTAGAGTTGCTTTGTGGAGGTGTCTCGTATTTTACTACTACCACCACTGCATTAATGAGAGCAGTCCCCCGTTGAGAACAAGAGGCTTTACCTGTGTGTATCTGAGTGCAGGGTGGGCTCCTTGTACTGCTGTGATGGAGAGGGGAAGACCTTCCAGCCTCCACAGTTTTCTACTCAGGTCATCATAGGACTGAACTACCAGTAAACTCTCCTCCTCTCCAGTACTAGGCACCTGAAGAGCACAATAAACATCAAACACATGCCATACATACACATTATTAGAGAGTATATTTATTTAGTGATGAAACAGCAACACTCACACCCAATTTTGGTGGTTTACAGCAGTGGTTCTCAACCTGGGGTCCAGAGACCTTGAGGGTTTCTTAAGGGGTTCCAGGGGTCCCCAGAAAAATGGGAACTATTTACATTTTGCAGACTATAGGTTAGCCCAGTGAGAGTCCATATGTTTCACACTCTTCACTGTTAATCTGCCAATCTACAGTACAGACAGTTATGGAATAACGTACCAGACAAGGATTCCTGAGACTACTCTTTATCACATACAGGTCTGCTGCCTGATGTGTATCAATCTGGGGATGACTGACACCAAAAAGGTTGAGAACCAACTGGGGACCATTGTTTTCATGAATTTGTCATTAATAATAATTAATATTTTTTTAAACGGAATTAATTACAGATCTTTACCAACAAATAAAAAAATAAAAATAAAATAACATTTAAAAAATCAGTAGGAAATGTTGTATATGGTTAAACAAAGACAGGGCGCGGTTTAAAGCATCACACAACACATAAAAAGCTATATTATATTTTCAATTAGTCTAACCGATTTTATATTGAATTTGCCGTCTATTAAAAAAAACAAAACAAAAAAATAAATAAATAAATCGTAGCGCGTTACCTCACTTCCCGTTTTGATGACGTCATCCACCATCGCCCCCACATACCGCACACAGGACTCGGGGACATCTGCATGCCTGGTGATTAAAAACACATATATTAGTTTTCCCTTTTAAAAACTCGGCAGACTCATACCTCCACTCACCCCACTGTCACTATCTGAACGGCACACGCCGAAGTGAAACCGCTGACAAACTGGCCTCTTTTTATTACCCCTAAAAAAAAAAAAAAAAAAAAAAAAAGACCCACTCTCTCTTTCTCTCTCTCTCTCTCTCCTGCGAGGACGGGAGGCGCTAACACCAGCTAACTCGCTAACGTTAAAAAAAACACTCGGGCCAGGCATTAGACATAGCCGGCTGCACGGACCATGAAGCGTACGGGGAGGAGACGGAGCTCCGTGTGGGACTGCTTTGAACAAGTGGGGAACTTTGTGCGCTGCATGAAATGTGACGCCAAGCTGAAGTACTGCGGCGGAGCTACGAGCTCCATGATTAACCACATGAGCAGGCACCATCAGTCCCCGACCCCGCTGGACGAGGACGAGAAACCCGTGATTTGTACCGTCCAGTGCATGGAGGAGGACAGGAGCGTCGGTTCGGACATCATGCAGGTTGCAGTCATGTCTCCGAACATGAGCCTGAGCAGCAACCCCCCTGAGCGTGACTGTGGCGAGAGGAAGCGGCTCAAGCGGAGCTCTGTTTGGGACATTTTCGTCAAAGTGGACGACGAGGTTCACTGCACGATGTGCGACACGAAGCTGAAATACAGGAGCAGCACCACCAGCATGATGTACCACATCAAGAACAAGCATCCGGACACGATGCCCAATGATGGCGTGTCACTGGCAACACACACAGAGGTGACTGAACTCATCTCCAGAATGATAGAGAAGGACATGCTTCCCATCAGCATGGTCACTGGGGAGGGTTTTCGCGAGCTCCTCGCATACACTGTGCATAATTATAAAATGCCCTCTGCAGGGGATATTATACGCCTCATTGAAGGCCATTTCCACGAGAAGGCGGAGGAGCTTGTGGTGCAGCTGGGTAAAGTGGAGAAAGTGGCTCTCACTGCTGATTTCTGGACAGCCCTCCCTTTTCAGAGGTACATTACAGTTTTCTGTTCATTCATAACAGAGGACTGGCAGGGAAGGTCAGCAGTGCTGCACACACACAAGATATCGGACAGTCACACTACTACAGACAGCGTCACAGAGAAGCTCCTAAAAACCGTGCAGGCCTGGGGTATTGCTGGAAAAGTGACTGCGTGTGTTCACAACAACGCCCAGGACATCCTGTCAGCCCATGCGTGTGCCCATGTTACCTGGGATTACGCCACTTGCTTTGCCACCACGCTGCAGTTTGCGGTGAGTGACGGGCTGTGTGAGGATCTAGTCCGGATCATTGCTGCTGCGGGGAAACTGGTCAAGCACTTCAATCACAGCCTGCTGGCGAGCGAGGCCTTGGAGCAGAAGCAAGTTCAGATGTGCCTGCCACAGCACAAGCTCATCCAGTCGAGCAAAGCCAGATGGGACACGATCTGCGATATGTTCGAACGGTTACTTGAGCAACGGTGGGCAATTAAAGCGGTCCTCTCCGATCGCACAGTCACCAACAGACAGGAAGCCCAGACCCTTGAGATTGAAGATGACTGCTGGCAGATAATAGAGAATTTCACACCTGTGCTGGCAACGCTCAAATGGGCAACAACAGTCATGTCTGCTGAAACGGAGGTGTCCATTTCAAACATCTACCCAATCACCTTCAGCCTCATTCAAACCCACCTTGTGCCAAAAGAGAATGACGTTGAACAGGTCTCTGAGTTCAAGCTGAAAGTTCAGAAGTCACTTAGAAATCACATGGAGGTAAGCATAAACTGACTGCGGACTACTAATTTGTGCTTTGACTGAATAGTGATGATATTAGTAGAATAAATGCTGACAAACATGATTGGTGTGGATAAACGTGCATCTCTTTTTACTAAATTCTTTACCAGTGTTTCCTTTCACTGTCTGCAGGTTGACTCTAATGACCTAGCCTCCAAACCGGCTCTGATTGCTTCTATGCTGGACCCTCGTCACAAACATCTCAGCTTCCTGACGCCAACGGGGAGACTGGCTGCAAAGGTGAAACTGCACGAACTGGTTTCAAAATTAGATGTGAGAAACGCCACCGTCAGCCCAAAGGATGAACAGCAGGAGACCTTGATCACACCTGATATTAGTCAGGTGGCTATGCCCTCACAAATGAAAAGTGACACCAAAAACACTATGATGTTGCTCCTAGGAGACAACTACAGTTCCTCCTATGCCACAGACTCTGAGGCTCAGGTAGATTACTACTTGAGAGACATTGCTCCCTCGTTGGACATAAACCCTCTTGACTGGTGGAGGGTGAACGGACCGAGGTTCCCCAAACTGGCCACTCTGGCAAGACACTATTTGTGTGTACCTGGGGTAGCACTGCCGTCTTTATTGTCAGAGGCTGGACAAACATTTGCAACAATGCGCACAAGACTGAGCCCAGAGCATGTTGACATGATGATCTTTGTAAACAGAAATGCATAACTTGCATGACCCTACGTGATGGAGATGTACCCTGATTTACCATACTAATAATGAAATAAGGTCACTGTAGGGCAGTGGGAAGCAAGTTAGGTAGACACTTTGATGAGTCAGGGAGGATGGGGAGATGGCAGGGCTATTAAAAGAGCAGGTACTCTCTCTCTCTACCATGTTGTACATTAATTAGCTGGTGCTAATGAGGCTACAATCATGTTGTTTTTCAGTCAACAAAAAGCATTAGACATTAGCAGTAAAATCCCCCCCCCCTCCTCCTCCAACAGTTGCTGTGACCTGAGCTGCAGTAAAATGAACTACCTAAATGTAGATCCCATTAAAACCTAGTGATTTGTTTCACTTGACTGACTCACTCACACTCCTGACTTAATAAATTATGTCAGCTATATCTGAGTAAACACGAGGTGAATATAAATTCTTGGCACTAAACAACAACCCAAAAAAAAATAAAAAAAATCACAGGAAAACATCTAGTGGAGGCTGCTAACAATGTATCAAGCTGTACAGGTATAATGTTTCATACATTATAGTTCCAAACACGCATTTTAAATAGATTTCAAAATCAAGATAAATACTGAATATTTGTATTAGAAATACAGCTAGAAACAAACTGACCAAACTAACCACTATATTATTACCAGTATTAATGTGATGTCTGTTGTGTCTCTCAGTATGCTATGCCAATAAAATGAAGTACATACAGCTGTAGCAGGTGTGTGATGATCTGTTTAGGGACCAGTTGTTTTTGGCACATGCTCTCTCCGTCCCACAGCACAGCCTCAGTGATGGCACCATCCTGGAAACGACGCAGCTCGGAGCGAGAACCCCACAGCTGACGGAACTCAGCCGCCTAGCAGGAGAATAATAATAATAATAATAATAATAATAATAATAATAATGAGTCTTTGCACAAGTATGGTTACACATACAACGATGAATGAGAAATAAGTTTACAAATCAAAGAAAATACTAACCTAATCATGCAACAGATTTGTCTCTTTTGCATGCGACAGGACAAGCTTTTTAAAAGTGCAAACAATAGCCGAATCAGAAGTGAAACTCAGTTGTGTCCATAAATGTTACATTTGCTTAGTTTACTACAGTAGTATTACATTCTTTAAGATGTTTACAATCCTACTACGTAGTCAAAAATTCTTAAATCCACTATGGATTTGTATCTACTCAATGCTCCCTCTTTGTAGCACTTTTGATATTGCACTTGATATTGTACAAGAGTCGAGTAAAATGACTTGCATCACCAACCCCAATGGGAAAAAACATAAAATAAAACACTACAAACACGCACAGAAATGACAGACAGGCGAGGTTACCTTGGGGCTGTCTGCAGGTGGACCTCTTTCCAGGGCAGAGGCTGCCAGCTCTGGCCTTAGGAGCAAACCGAATGAGAGAGGAGGTTGGGCTTTGTGTTTTGGGGCATCACTCTCCACAGACCACTGTGATGAAACAAAAATGTTAATAAGTTCAATAAATAAAATTACTTCAAGATTGTACATATGATTTATTTTGGACTTGCTCAATTAGAATTTCATAAATGTACTTGTTACAAAAGTATTAATACTGATTCAATCAATTCAATGAAATTAGGATTGAAAAATCAGTGTGCATGTTCTTCCAGTTAAGTAAGGCAAATCTTTCCCACCTCTGGGGCAGGAGAGAGGGAGTGGGTGAGGAGGTGGATCCTTTGGCCCAGTCCTCGCTGAAGCAGTGACAGAATAAAAGGGAGCGCGGTGTGGACGTAATTTCCACTGTGGTCCATCAGCTCACTGAGGAGATTCAGTTTCTTACAGCTGGACTGAAGCTTCACCAGCTCACACAACCTGTGTGTGGGTGGGAGATGACAAGCACAAATCAGTAAAGCTGACAGGATGAGGACGGGCAGGTGTAAAATGAAGCTGCTTATCTAGTACATTTAAGAGAGATTGGGTGTAATTCGTTTTTGTTGCATTAGCTGATTAACAGAGCCATACTGGAATACGTGGTCGCTTGTCCTGATCATGGGTTTGGGGGTCATGAGGAGGCTGTGGAACCCATCCACTGTAGGGTTGTCCCAGAACTGCATCGACACAGATGCCTCATGCTGCAGCTGAGAACCAATTTGAAAATAGTCAAAACCTGTTGCTTAATATCACCAGTGAAAAATGCATCTTGTCTGAACAAATCTGTTTTTTTTTTTTTTAGTCTTTACCTGTTTGTAGGTACAAGCGGTCATGTCAGCACACATATTGAGATGTCCTGAGGGGTCAACAAACACCACCTGGAAAGCACTGTGGAACTCTGCCAGGGATGGCTGCAGGGAAAAGAAAAAAAAAAAAAAAAAAGTAGACAATAATGATTAATTTAGGAGTTAAACAAAAGCGTGAGTAATCTATATGCACACAAGTTTACGGTTTAAAATTCAAGCTAGGCCACTCACAGCTGTAGAGTCAGGATCTCTGGCTAGTGTAATTGCATTCACTGTGAGGTCTGTAGATGCTGCGGGTTAGAATGAGAGGTTGGTAAGTTGCAAGATATTCAAAACAGCAATAAGCAAATCACTGCAATATCGTCATATTATGTATCATATAACCCTTCATTAAAACAAACCAGTGGTTTAGCAGATTTAAAATTTTCTTACCCAGGAAGTTCAAGCTGTTTCGAAGCAGCTGATAGGCCGTCATGGTGTTACTGATTCTGTGAGTGGTCAGCAGATAAGCCAACAGCATGGAAGCCAGGAAGCCACTAAAACAACCAGTGCCCTAAAAGATATTGAGGTAAGGTATGTCAGAAGATAGATAGATAAATTAATACAGTGTAAAAACAAGAAACTAAACTCTGTGCAACAATTAAAAGAGACACTGCAAGCCTCTAACCTGGTCCAGCTCTCTTTGGCGAAGCCAGACTTTGAGCAAAGCCACCCCATCAGCAAACGCTGAGCACTGGGAGCTGACAGCAGAAAGGAACTGGAGGTGAGCCCTGGGCAGTAAATCCCCCAGAACAGAGCTATTGTAATGTGGAGTGGGAGGTTCACCGCTCTCTGTAACAAACAAGAAAACAATTGGTCTTGATAAAAGTGATATTTCAGTTGAACTGTAGATAAAAAACAATGTGGTCTTGAATGTAAATATGATCATCGTCTCAGAAAAAGCGATTGAATTGTGATTCTGTGACCAAGTTCGTATTGTTTTTCACCATTGGCATTCATTAAGAAAGATTCACTACATATGGAAATCAAATGACTGAAATACTGTGTTGACCTTACATAACATCTCTACACATATCCATAAATGAACATTAACTTATATTCACACAGTGACAAGGAATTAAATATAAAAATAAATAGTATGAATAATACAGAAGGAAAAAAGCGTATAGGATAAACACATCAGTCAAAAACTCTAACAGCAATTTATTATAAATAATTTTCCAACATCCATTTGAACCTCCGTTGATCCTAATTATAAGTGATGGATAAAATTTGAAGAACTAGCTGTATAAATGGACAACCTTACCAGACAGCGAGGACTGCAATCCGGTGTACCACTCTGTCCTGATATTATTCCTTTGGGGGTGGAAGCGGTTGGGCTTGAAGAATCCAGGAGGGGGACACACATGAACACATACGGTGAAGCTGGAAGAGTCTTTACCTGAAAGATGGGACAACACAACAGATCTCAACCCAAAAAGATACTTATTAAAATATAATATGATATAATATATAACATAATAAAGTTAAAATACCTGGAGGGGTCAGCAGCAGAACAGGTCGGAGTCGATTCCCATGGAGACAGGAATATCGCATGGTCCCAATGTCAGAGGAAGACGCAAGATACTCGGCCATGCCTGCAAGGTAGAGAGCCCTTTTCCTCGGATACCTCTGGTTCACGACGTCCTTCGGGTGGAGGACATCCTAATAACAGAAAGATGAGCAGGCAGAGACAATAGCACATTGCTCTCAAGACTTCAAGTGATGCAATGAAATAAAATTTAAAAAAAAAAAAAGGCCGGTGACTTACAGCTGGGATTGTCACAGCTAGATCCACCATGATGCGTGGTTTAGTGCAGGTGCCCAGGGGGTAGCTGCCGATCAGATCGACAGAAGCAGGGGGTGCCATGTGGAACTTGCCTTTTGTTGCTTTGGGCACCAGGAGGAACGGGACCTTGACTGCGCCGGACAGCCACGACAGGTCACTTACCTGAACACATAGAGAGATTGAGCAAAAGATGTGGTTGCAGGTTTCTGTGTGTACATTTGCAAAGAGACAAATTAATGGAAACCGCGAAGCCGACACACCTCAACCTCTGGGGACTCTGGCACAGCCTGGAGCAGCTCGGTGACTGTCAGAATGAAGGAATCTATTCGCTGCTTCCTACGCTCACTCAGGGCGACCTCTTTCAGCAGCTCCTCCATCTGTTAATCGGCGAACAAGATCATAAGACATTTCACAAGAAGAAGTGTGTGAATGCTTGTGCGGTTATATTGGTCACATGGGATGATGATGATGCCAGGAAGTCAGAGGTCCTCACCTGCATCTTGAGCAGGCTGCAGTGAAACAAGCTCTCCGCCTCCTTCAGCTGGTTTAGCTCCTCTGCTGAAGGAGGTCTGTACAGATCACTGCGGGACAGCTTCACCGGGTGAAAGACCACATCCTCCTCCTTCTCCTCCTCCTCTTCCTCGGGTTTGCTCCTTTTGGCTTTAATGGGAGCTTCATCTTCCTTCTGAGATGAGTCTGAGGGAATCATCTGTAAAATGACAACACAACATGTAGTAGTAGCAGCAGAGTAGTAGTAGTAGTAGTAGTAGTAGCAGTAGTAGTAGTAGTAGCAGCCTGATTAAAGTAAGCAATAGGAATATATATACAAAAAAAAAAATAGGCTAACTAACTGATATTTAATTTGACCAGAGCTGTTATTATTAAGTGTATATACATTAGATAAAGCACATTAGGCAACTCTTACCTGCTGTAAGGTAATTACAAATATAAACGCAAAGCGTGCAGGGAACCTTCATATACGTGTGAGCAGCTAAGATAAATCCAAATGTCGCCAGTCTTACCTCTTCTGGGTCCTCTGCGACTGTCTGCTTCTTTTTCATGTGTGCTTTTCTTCCAGAGTGATGGTAATTCAGATGTTTTGAAAGTTTCGATCAACGCTGCGCTGCCTTCATTGCGCTCTCACATGTGCAACGGGTCACTTCAACATGCTATCTCCCCCCGATTGGTGCAGAAGAGGCGGAGGGGAACGGTGATTGGCTGGCCGCTCGTGTGACGTCGCGTCGGCTTCAGCAAGATAGGTTGCACGAGCAGTCTCCCATATGGTGCGTGAGAAGGGAGATACAGGGCCGGAGACGGGGGGGGTTATTTTTTAAAACAAATTTAATATTATCATCATGTGTTTTAATTGCCATTTGTCATTAAAATCACTACACATATGTGGCAGATGTTTGCAGTACATAAAATGTATTATTGGTGTGCCTATTGACAGGATAGACAAAATAATAGAAACACCTCTTTAACAGTCAGTATAACACAATCAACACTGCATTAGTTTTAGCTGGGCGCACCTAATATACTGGCAACTCCGTGTAGGCACAGAAGAATCATTTGTATAATATACATACAAACATGACTTGATTAATTTAGTTGTTGAGTTTCAGGTAACGGTTTAAGAGTGATGAAAACATAATTTAATCTCACAGTAAGTGTTGATCTTTGCCTATGAAAAGGATGGACATTTAGGTACCTCTATCTTTCTTTGCTGTATTATGTGGCGAGCATTGACAGCACACATAGTTTTCTATAGGTTTAAAAAGGACAACACTTATATTGTATCACTTTACCATTATACACGTACAGTGTGTCGCACTACTGTGTTGCAAGTGCAGAATATCTAACAGATACATGGAGGAAAAAATTTATTCAGAGTCTTTTCAAAACATGTCCTATTATCTTTCAGAGCTTAGCCTGGAGCGGACACACATCATCTTGTATCAAAAAGGATCTTTTTTATTTTCAATCACATACAGCACATAATGCTCCAATACCACTACAGACATTTATTACCACACATCTTTATAATCAATTGTCCCAGTTCTCGGACTGAAACAATGGGGTGACTTGAGGCGGTGGACCTGTGGTAACCTGTTCAACTGAAAACAGTGGCACAGCTGCATCACTTTGTATCAGCCTCAGCTTGGTAGACGGAGCAGGAAGTTTAAATTTGAAAGAGTTAATGTCAACTGCCTGGGGTTCCAGGAGTGAAACACCCTTGGCCAGCTCCATTGTCTCCAGCCTGAGAGGCCCAGAGGACACCATTCCTTCTCTTCTATGTCTATAAGGAGACAATTTCTTCTGCCAGAGATCGGCATCTTTTCTCCTCTGAAACTTTTCTGGCCGATCCTGAGAGCTGGTTAGTGGCTTCAGGGAGGTTACTGTCCACTCAGTTTGCTTCTTGTTATATCTTGGTTCTAGTTTGGATTGTCCGCTTGGTTTCTTGGAGTTGGGTTTTGCGCAGTTGTTATCCAAAATCTCATATTGAGGAAAGATGAAGTGTCGAGGCAGGGAAGAGGGATCCAGCCTTGGTATGCGTTGGTAGTCCTTGTGCTGATGTAATGATCCAGTCGTACGGTTAGAGACAGAAGGTGTCTTATTTTTACCCTCCACATCCTGTTTTTCTGCCGAACAGGACAGGGGCGGAAGTGATTTGCGTGGAACAGGCTTGGGAGGTAAAATAATCTGCTGCTTTTTCTCTAGATCAATATTTAGTGAGGGACGAGGACTGAGTAGTTTATAGCGCTTGTCTCTGACAGGTCTCCTGGGACTTGTTTGCTTTTCAGATGTCTTTGGAGAGCTGTTTGCTTGGGCCATAACATTACATTGCTGTTTGACACTTGGCTCCGTTTGTACTGGGACCTGGCCAATGTCAACCTCCTGTTAGAAACAAATATAGAGACACAGATATAATGTAGATACGGATACACATAACTTCTCGGGTGAAATATGTAGAGAAGCTTTGCAGAAGAGAAATATCAAGACTACCTGTTGTGAGGCGAGGTGAAGTCGAGGGCTAGCATTTTCAACAGGCACGCATCCTTGAGCCCAGGCATCAGAAGTTGCCGGCATAGGCTCTGAGTCTTCTGTTTTAGATGCTTCCTCTGGTCCTTCTCCTTCATCTAGGGACACAATTCGCTGCTCTAGAATCTGTGTGAGGTAGCTCTCGGCCCAGGATGCGGAGAAAGGTGCAAGCTTAAGAGCAAAGACAGGCAACATCATGGATGGAAGCAAGATCATTTTAAGTATTTTGGTGTCAGTCAGTAAGATGATGTTCACATTGAAGTGAAATCAAATTTAAAAACCGAATATGCCTTTTCAGTTTTACCTGTCTTTCAATGTACACCTTTAAACAGCCTTCCATGACCTTGCTCAACAGTTCCTCCATGATCTCCCCCACTGTCTCATCTGCGTCCTCCTGGATCAACATGTCCATCCATTGGGGCTGAGTTAAGCGACCAGGGATAATGTCTTCCACTTCTACCTCCTGCGTTGGAGGTGGGGTCACCTGGACAGTGGACCTACATCTGCGCTTGTCAGCTTGGGACTTGGCTGCAGAGCGGGGCATCTTGGCTCGGAGGCTGGTGTTAAATATGAAACACAAATGAGAGTAAAAAGCACAATTTTTAAAAAAACATAGATGTTTGTGATGAAGTGTTTAATATATTTATGGGCAAAAAAAGAAACAATTTAACAAGGAACAAATATAAATCCCTGTCAGTTGGCGTATTGGTGTGAAAATGCCATAAAGGAAACATTAGCACACTCTGGTGGATGAGATCAAACCTTACACTTTTACTTCTCCATGGGAACTTGGATGTAAAACTATAATGCCCCGACTCATTACAGCACACACAATATTATGGTCTATAAATCGTGAGATGCACAAACTGGGGATATAATGAGCCAGTGTGTTTTGTTGGTAAAATGTATTCACATTATATGACAACAATAATCTAACGTTATGAGATTATGTGCAACGTTACAGCGCATAGAAACAAAAACACCGCGGTGTATTTAAACCAATGGCCAGTAATAGTGTATCATTTAATGTACGGTTATTATACACGGTTAAAACAGCCACACTTTTACACCATTCGACCTCAACACCAACATGTACAGTTTAAGTTTTATGAATAATAACTGTCATACAAACCTTACCTTACACTCTTCTTTGTATCTTTTGCTCCTATGGTGCCACGCAGTCTACGGTTGCTAAGCAACCGAGCACGCAAGGGTGACGTAGCACGTAGAGGTGGCGTGGTCTCTATGGCTGCGGAGGACGCGGAGGTAATCCTGTTGCTAACAAGAGCTAGCAAGTGCTTCGTTCTCGTTAACGTAACATATAAGGATTTATCACGACAGCGGCAATAGAGGCTGAACCAGTTGTTATGTAATCTGAAGAGAGTGTGTCACACACGCTGTCCTCTCGTATTTACGCTTCATGGTTGCATCTGGCTTCTTGCTAACATAACTTAAGTTAGCTTGCTGCTAAGTTAATTAAGTTAAGTGAAGTCTTTAGCGTTTCCATTTGCTGCCAAACAACGGTATGTGTGTTTTCTTTTTACTCAATAAAACTGCTCATTTAACTTAACCGACTCTGATTGTGGTGAGCTTTATTTCCTTCCCTAAGGCTGACACCAGATTACCCACTGCCATCTCAGCCACCTGCGCTGTTAGCAGAAGATTGCTCGATGTATCACAAAGAGAAGAGCATCCAGATCAAAAACAGCGCGTCGGCGCTGTACAACAACCTCAGCGTGCTGCGCATCGCCCCGCGGCGCCTCACCTACTTCACGGTGGTCCATGCTAATGTGGTCAACATGGTCAGCGCCTCCTGGGACGGCCTCAACTATTCCCACCGTCAGCTGCAATCCAAGGAGCCCAATGTCGCCACAAGCACATCGCTCATCATGCAGGTGAGGCAACTCCTACTGTCTTATTTTACTGTGAAGGTGGCTGGGAGAAGATATCAGTGTAGTCATTGAGTATTAGATTATTTATACATAGTTCCCTCAATATTAGAAGACAGAAAATAATTGGACAAGTTGACATACATTTAGATTAATCTTGTCTTTTTATAATAAGGGGAGTTTTTGACTGTGTGACCCTCAGATTGATTGCCTTGTTTGTATATTGTTTGTGTATTATCACTGTCCTCCTGCAATGTCCTAAGATTGGGGGACTGCAAATGGGCAGCAAGTCCTACACTGTTCCCCTATATGGATGTGAACACCCTCAGTATTAGTGTTGCAAGCATATAGTCGATGTATCATTCCCAATCCAATGTGCGTGTGTGAGTAACACGCTAAAACAATAAAAATGCCACTTCACAAACAGTTGACAACGTTTCTTTAAAAAGTTGCTGATAAATATAAGAGGACATTTTAAGATTGTTTCCCTCCAACATAATGTAAATGCATTTGGCTGTATCATAAAATTAAAGAAATCCTGTGTTTGTTTGTAACAGGCTGCGTTTTGTGTCCTGCCCTCTCGAGATCTGCTGGTGGTGACCTCTCAGAAAGGCATCCAGGTTAGTTTTTGCCACATTTTGACTTGTGGAGGGAGTCCAGACTGAAGTGTGTCACTGAGTATTTTTGAAATGTGAACCTAAGCAAAAGTATTATTGTATGTGTTGCAGCATTTTACTTTAATATAAATCAATTGTTTTAGATGTATGAATCTGATGGCTCTATCATGGTATACTGGCATGCACTGGATACTCCGGAAACACCTACAGGTAAACTTACATATACACTGTGCTACACATATCACTCAAATACTGACCTATCTAACTGAATATATTATATGATGCAATACAATACGATATGATACAATAGAATATGACACATGTATAATTTGTTGTTTCTGGAAATGTGTCAGTGCAGTTGATCCATCATTATAACACAAACATAATTAAAAAACCTCAGTGGGAGGACCTCATTATTATAATGCAATAAATGATTTTCAGGCATCTGCCCCAACATTATTATATCTACACAATCACAAATGGCAGTGAAGACATTGTACACATGAGCAACATTGCGTTGCTTCGTCAGGTTTACTCATAGATACTGCTGACTTTACTTTACAATTGTGAGAGTAAAGTATGAATCCAGAGTTTCATAGCAAATCTGGTGCACTCACAGAACTTATTTATGTCCCAGCTCAGGCCGTGTTTGCCCGAGGGATATCAGCAGTGTGGGAGAATTATATATGCGTGGGTAAGTACTGGTTAAAATATATTTATGTGTATATTTAAAATACAGGGCAAAACTCATAGCGTCTCTTTCTCTCCCTCTAGGTGTTTCATCTGGTTCAATTCTAGTATTTGATGTTCCCAGTAAAGGCAGTAATATCACCCTGTCTGAGGTCCTGGAGGAGCACAAGGAGTCCATTACTGACATGGCCTCAGAGTGCTCTGGCAGCCAGGTATGGAGTGTGTGTGTGTGCTTGTTCAGTGTCTGCAGTCTGTCTGTCTGAACCTTTGTTGATACAGGATAGCTCTAACTTTTCTGTGTCTACCTGAATAAATTACAGCTTTATATAAAACTGCTAAGAACTGCTACCATTTTATGATTTACATTGTTCCTTCCACTCTGTTGCTGTCTCTCTCCCCTCAGGAGTGCATCGCTGATCTGGTCAGTGCAGATGATGGGGGCAACCTGTGTGTATGGAAGTCTGGGGAGGAATTTCAGCTGCTCAACAAGATCTCTGGGTTTGAGTAAGAAGTTGATTGTATTATAGTTTTGTAATTTGTGGTGTAAACAAAGCAGCACAATGACAGCCAACCAATAGTGATAGAGTGACCTATGCTGATACTCCATCATCACTAACCCTCAACTCCTACTCTTACTTTCCATTGTTGTACTTATCTACTTTATGTTCCCTTTCCACTGTCCTTTGTTTCTGCTTCATTTCCCCTCCTCACTCTAATGTAATGTCCATTATCTTTTCCCTTTACTCCCTGATGGCAATGATCCTCCATCTTCCTCACTGCTCTCAGTATGAGCTGCTCATCTGTCAAGTTGTGGAAAGGTACAGTGGTGGCAGGTTACGGGACAGGCCAGATCCGTCTCTATGAGGCAGTAACGGGAATTCTGCATGCTGAGGTCAACGCCCACGCTCGCTGGATATACTCTTTAGACATTGCTCCTTTTTCTGGCCTGGTGAGTATAAACCAAATGAATAAGAAATATTGTTCTTTCACTGACCATTTACCGTGTGGGCATTTATCTTTTGAAGCTGCAGAGCTAACAATTGGAAGGGATTCGTAGATTAAGCTCTAAAACATGTTCAGGTGGTTGTAAAGAAATCTTTGGGCATATCTCATACAACTGGATTTGGAAGTGACAGTCTGCTTGTTTGGTTTAGCTTCTGTCTGCTGCTGAGGACTCTCTAGTCAGGGTGTGGCACCTGACCATGACCCCAGAGACCAACAGTGTGGAGGTAACTGGTCTTAAAACAGTACAAAGCTTGTTGTCTTAATAAATCCAGAATTGAGGCACAATGTATGGCAGTTTCCCACAGGATTAACTTGTATCAGGTCATTTTTCTCCCTGACCCTGACTGTGTCTCCCTTCCTTCCTCTTAGGTTGCTCATTTGCACAATGAGTGCGTGACGGACACACAAATCTGTGGCGCCAAGTTCTGTGACGGTGATGGTTATGCTTTTGCAGTGACAGGCTACGACCTGAGTGAGATTATTCGCTACACCCAGTCCTAGGACTTTGCTGTCAATGAGGCTGAGCATATGAATGTGAATTTAGTATACTGGAGTGTTTCTGGAAAGATATGACGAATTCAGAGAAAACAAAGTCAAAAGTGGTATTTAACATAATCTTTTTGGGGAAAAGCATTGTTTCATGACATTTCTCTGTCTATATAAGGTTATAAGGAGATATATAACAAAATAATGCAAAAGTAATATGTTTGTGTAAAAAGTGTTAAGTACACATGTATGTGAATGTAGCTTTAAGAAATACAATATTCTATTATTCTTTTTAAGATAATTATTGTTATTATTCTCTCTGATAAACTAACTGTACCAGTAAACCTTTTTGTAAAGAAAGTTGTTTTGTTTGGGTTTTAAATTTACACTTCACAAATGTACCAATAGATGGGACTGTGGGTTAATTATTTTAGAGCAAGACAACGACAGTGTAGTGCAAACAGAGTTCACTAGAGGGCAGGGTGGTGTTGCCTAAAAGGTTTTGGACTGGACTGAAGACAGACTATTGGAGAAACTCCACATTGTGATTGGACACTGTCCGCAGACCTCAGACCACTCATGTCAGCCAGTAAACATGGGCATGTTGCAGAGGGAGGTCTTAAACATTTTCTTTTCATTATATTGGCTAATTTCCTAGATGGCCTCCTTTTCTGCTATCTGACCCTCTTGTGAGTCTGAAATAAAGTTAAATTGAATATACATAATCTTTTCTCTTCCTGTCATGTCCACAATCTAATGTGACATATTGTAAAATTAGCTTTTTTATTTTTATGTATTTATTTTTTCAGTCCAAGACTTTTACATTTGAGGCAGATGTGTTTTTTCCAACTGTGTCAAGGGTGTATCCGTTATCCTTGCTTTCTGGTTTTTATAGTTAACATGCATTTCATTTTGATAGAGTTCTTCAGTGTAGTTAGAGAAAGTCTTACTGTTTCCTAGAATATGTCATGAAGGACTATAAAGGCCTTTATCAAAAACAAATGCTTAAACTAAATGTGCACAACACAAGACAAAACACCACAATGTGCAACAGAGATATTGTTTTCTAGGATCTGTTGATATGAGCTGACAGTGGCATTACTGAGAATAAATGTCGGCAACTTTGCTGTATTGTTAGAAAATCTGGTCTTGTTTAAATCTCATCACAAGTTTTTTTTTTTTATTCACATCAGGCAACCAGGTATTGTAATCCCACTCACCTTATTGTGACAAGATAAGAAGAATCAGGTCACTGAGGAATTGTGTGCTGTTTATCAGTTTGGGGCTAAGCATGTATTAAAGCCCACAGTTCTAGTCTTTTCTGGTTTGCAGTCAACACTGGTCATATAACATCAACTGACAAGACTGTTTTGAATGCGCACACATGGCGAGTTATGTAACTTTAAATTTGGTAGGTACCAACTGACAGCCATGTTAATGCTGATGGCTGGGTCAAATGTAGAAACATAAACATGCAGCACAGTGGCATGAACTCTAAAAGTCTTTATGCAATCAATAACTTTCAGTATGTCATGTTGTGTCATGCTTCCTAGCTGCCTGAGGTCGGGGACAGGGTCAGTGGAGGACTAAGCTGTCAATATAAGGTCCCAAATGACACAGACACTGAGATTGCATAACTAACTGGAACAGTACAGAGGGGGGAAAGGTTGGTGAAAAGTGATACATGAAATAAGGATGGAAAGGGACAGAGCTGAGTAACAGAGCTTGTTGAAGAAAGAGATAAGAGTAGAAGAAGGGGAATATGACATCACTTTCCTCAGAAAAACATGTGGAGACAAACAACAGCAGTCATTTATTCCTTGTTAACTAAGTCAATAGTTCTGTGCAACGCTCTACTCCCATACACAGCCCCGGGGCCACTCATGCTGTGTACTGCTACAATACTTGTCAATAGTCGGCTCTTAGGTGTTACACACAGCTGAGCACACAATGTTGGGGTAGATCAGACTTCGACATGAACAGTTCTCAGATATGGATGTGAATCTATGTGGGGTTTATCCATGTGTGTATGTGCATGTGTGTCATGTAATAATGGCATTAGAGCAACATTTTCCTACTCATATTTCCCAGTAGACACTTTGAAATATTTTATTAATGAGAGTGACAGGGCAAAAATAGATTGTGCGAGACCTTCAATGAAAGGCCCCCAAGTGGTCCGATATGTCACTTAAATAAAATCACGGAGAAAAACCCTGAACCTTTATATGAATAAGGCCAATCCCCTCAGAGTCACCATGAGATGATTAGGGCACCTGCCTTTTATTCAGCTGTCTAGCTATTATGGTATGTGTCAAAGTCTCACTTTCTTGTTAGTTTAAGGGAATGACCATATTTTTTCAGTGCACAACCCATACTGTGCATGGGTATTGACCAAGCCATATCAACCATTGTCAAATACCATGCCACAATACAAGTTCATCCTTATGACCTTGTATGTAAGTGGGTGTGGTATGCATCTGTATGTGTGTTTGTGTGAGTACCACAGTGTGGATAACTTTTAAGCTGTTTGTTTGTGTGTTTCTTCATTATTCTGGTGGAGAAAGAGCAATTTATCCCATGCCCATCCAGCCCTGTGACAGCTGCCTAGGCCTGTGTCACTAAGCCTGCTGGGATAGAGCCTCACCAGGGGGGATGAAGATCCTAAAGCCCCTCCAGCCTGCTGCCACAGACAGACCAGCTCTCTGACGAAGCAACCAGGAAACCAGCTCCCCCAGACATTCTGTATAAATAGATCTTCCTTTTGAAACACACTGAAATGGGAAGGAGGGGGGTACTAGAAACTGACAGACCTGAATAACTGCCACTGCTGACTGACAGATGCGGAGATAGGTAAACATGGCATTAAGGCAGACAAACAGAGATGTGCAAAACAAAACTAGGTCAGAAAACATTTGCAAATCATCAGCTGATAGCAGTTGTCAGTTTGTTATTGTATAGATAGTATTGTCCCATGGAAAAGCTGGAAGTCAGTCTTGTTTACTTAAACACTATAAACATTATGTATGACATATTTTCTGATAAAACCTGCAATAATAGATTTTTTGGCCACTTGGGAGCAACAGAAACAAGTTGTGAACACCACGTGGACATATCATCACCCTTTAGCTTATGGGGAATTTGTAAACTTGTTAGCAAACCATTGCTTATACACATCCAGTAGTTACAGAGCAACATTATAATTTACTTGGACTCTACAAGTCCTGAGAGAAATATCTAGCTGCCAAATGACATGACAAGGCCAGTAAAATTATTGGGAATGAGAAAAAAAAGGCGCAAAAACTGTGTCTGATCTTGTTCACCCCCCCTTTCATACCAAATGCTGTAACTTTGCTAAATCTGTAACCACCATGTCAATTATTGTTGTCTGTATTGTGCATGTATGTATTAATCCTCATCAACTAAACTGGTCACAATGGAAAGCCTCTAATCTAATATCCAGTTTTGTAATTCTTAAACTTACAAAAAGAAATTACTCATAGTGTGAGCTACTGATACTGAATTAAGATTTGTTGCATCATCCTGTAATATTAGGAATAGTTAAGGATGGTTACATTAAATGTTTTATTTCAAATGGACTAATTATTTCATGTGAATGATGTGGTCAAATGGTATGCAGCACAATATGCCGAAATACTTCAGGTATGATGGCAGGTTGAACAAGTTAAGTGGAAGAGAGAAAAGGGTGTGTAAATAAATATGGTTTCATCACAAAATTATGATAATTGGAATGTGGAGTGACAGCTCATTCACTCAGCAAACATACACCAATGACAAAAATGGGTGGATAGCTGTATAGTTTTATTGCTACAAAGTAGATTATATTTCAACCATGGCAACACACCCACCTCCGCAGCCGCAGCCCATGTGCACCATTAGGCTTTACCATGGAAAGCAACACTCATTCATGTCATGCCAAGACAATCCACCCTTCCTGTCTATGTGGGCCTCTGATTTGGGGGAAATTTCTTAATTTATAGTGCTGTCTGACTCACTGTATCCCAAAATTCTGGAAACCACAACTCATGAGAAGACAAGACAAGGCACCACTGTTGAATGAATGACAAGGGTACATCTACCATGTTGTCAGACTTGGTTTTGACATTTCATTCATTTTTAATTCTAGGCTTCCAACAAGTTTGGATATGCTGATAAACAAGTTTGACATTCACTCAATCACATTACCATTGGAATTCCCCTCATTTGGTTACACACTGTAACCTTTGGACTGTGAACACAATTTCAGCCCTATAACAGACTAAATTACAATGACACACAACAATGCCCAACACTGTTCCTCAGTAGTGGCCCTGCCTTGCCACTATTTGCAAGTGTGCCCCAGTCAGGGTCACACAACTACCTCAGCGCTCAAAAATGGCATTTAACCCCTTAAAAATACAAACACACGGTCACCAAGGTGCACCTAGATACAGTGTTATCTAAAACAGACAGAATCAATGGATGTGTAGTCTTTGACTCCATTACTCATGCTGATAACATAACAATGGAGGCCGGCTATTTCTACTGATCAAACTGTACTGCCCAGTAAAATCGTGCATTTCCCTCAACTACTTGAATCCTCATCACCCTTAACTTTGGCTGACTATTTTAACTGTGTTCCTGATATGTGAAGGGTGGCAATATGGAGAAGTGGACAGGAGTGGAAGAGCAGCAGAGAGCTTTACTTTCAAACTTTCAACGTCCTCAGATGAGGGCTGGAGAAAGCTGTAAACTGTGGAAAGAGTTGCAGAATGCGGATGCACCATTGGACTGGATGCCATAGATGGAATATTCTGCAGCTGGGGAAAAATGCATGGCTGCTGTCAGGCAAGGTTATGTGGGACAGCTTTAACTTTTATTTATTTTTGTATTATAACATTTTATATTATTTATATATTTAATATTTTTTTATAATATTTTTTTATTTAAGTTGTTGAAAAACAGGAAGTTAATACAGCCTTAAGAGTACACTGACCCTTTAAGCATAGTCCATTGTAACTAGGTCTGTCCTGACCTGTACACACACACACACACACACACACACACACACACACACACACACACACACACACACACACACACACACACACACACACACACACAAAATACACACTCTGCATATCCCCAACGTCATTTAGGAGGCATGGATAGGCAATGGGACTTAAGTGCATTAAATTAGAGTAAAATAAACATGATCAGACCCTGCCATCTGCACTGGGATGGCACGGTTGCCTAGCACTGGGCACTGTTTGGATTGTCTGACGTTGATGTGCTGACGTTGGAGTGTGTGTTAGTGTGTGAGTGTGTGTTAATGCCTATGTGTGTATGTGGCCATATGTGCA